TGCTGCCCCTCCAGAGGGTGATGGGAGCAATGTCCTCTCCCTGGACACGGCCACTGATGGCCATGGGGGCCTCATCCAGCCCAGGAAGTGCCAAACCCAAGATGGGAGTCCCAGAGCCACCGGGAGCTGTTCTTCAGCCACAGCAGGTGAGTGGGGACAGGACCCCAGCAGACCCAGTGTCCCCAGTGTGACCAGTGTCCCCAGCAGCAGCAGCGTGGAGACGGGATGGTCCCCAGCTGGGTGGCCAGGTGGGGGTGGCCCCATTGAAGTCCATCTGTCTGTCCTCCAGGGGGATCCTGCCCTGGCACAGAGCTGAGCTGCCGCAGGTGCTGGAGAGCTGGCAGTTGAGGCAGCTGAAGGAGGAGCTGCGGTGACCCCCCCTCCGACCTGGAGCAACAGCTGAGGAAACACCACTAGAGGCTTGAGGAGGTCTTTGCCATCCTTCTGTCTTCTGTCTGTCTGTCCCAGGCCTCCATCCCTCCATCCTGCCCAGCCCTCCTGCCTTCATCTCACTGTCATCCATCCATCCATCCATGCATCCATCCACCCACCCTTCATCCCCCCCATCCTCCCATCCATCCATGCATTCATCCACCTGTGCCATCCATCCATCCCTTCCTCCTTTCATGCATGCATCCATCCATCTGTCCATCCATCTATCCATCATCCATGTATCCATCCGTCTATATGTTCTTCCTTCCATCTCTCCATCCACCTATATGTCCATCCATCTATCTGTATGTCTTTCCATCCATCCATGTATCTATCTGTCCATCTACCCTTCCATGCATCCACCCCTCCATCCTCCCATCCATCCACCCCAGCCCCCTCAGCCCCCACCCATTCCTCATTGCCCCACAGATGTTGGGAGTTGCTGTGGGAGGCCACACACCCTGGGGGCAGCTGGGAGAGGCTGTGTCATGGGGACAGTTGGGTGGTGGCTGGGCTGTTGGGACGGTTGGGTTGAAGAATGGCGTGGGGAGGCTGGACTTGGGGGATGGCTGAGGGAGGCTGTGTTGGAGGCACGGGTCAAGGGATGGTCAAGGGTGGCCAGGTCATGGGGGGGCTGATGGAGCCTGG